AGTTCAATTTTATTTTTAAGTATGAACAAGGAAAGTTATGTTGCCTGAAACAGAGCTGACTCATAATTTGGACCCTCCTAGATTCATGGCTGTACTTGGAACAGCAAGTAGAGGCAATGGATAGAGAGAGCTTTGCACAGTTATAGCAGCTGTGGCAATATACACATGTTTTTGTCATCTCATGGCTGGACTGCTATAATTTGCTTTATCTGGGGCTGGCCTTGAAGATCACCCAGTTGGTGCAATGTATTAAGGGTATACCTAGATTTGCCCATGTAAACAACCACTGTGGGAGCTTAATTGACTGCCAGGCACAATTAAAGATGTAAATTGTCACATGGTATCAGTCACACTAAGTGGACCAGACTAGAAAATCAACTTTCACAATTGTATTTATTTATATCGGCTATAATAATAACAGTTTGATCATGCTTTTCATCTCCTCCTTATAATCCAGTGAATCAGGGACTCGTTTGCCTCAACTGCTTCCAAATATTACCTTGCTTCCTAAACTTAAAAAAATGTTTAGTACTCTTTACCTATGTAGCAATTTTTGCACATTTTTGCCAAGGTCATCTACAATTTATACATGAATATATTTAAGACTGCCTGCTTTGGCCTAAGTTTACACATTCGTTAGGAGTTAGGACTTGATAAGGGTCACTTCTACCATGTAATTGCAATTACAGAGACTCTGTTATTGAGCTTCTCAGTGATGCTTCTCGGTGTTGAGCTTCTCAGTGTTGCTCACTTGTGAGCCAGCTTTCCCATGATGTCTGAACTGCTTCTTCCTCACTGAGCATTCAAGCAGCTTGGTGGCATGATTTTGCATCAATATTTCTCTTGTTTGATGCAAGTTACTCAGAACCCTTTGAAGAAGAGCAGCATTCAAGCTTGAGCATGTTAGTACATAAATAAATAGATTGACATGCTAATAAAGAAGACGCCAGGCAAGGGTTTTTGGTCAGTCTTATTACTTATTAAGATACCTGTCCTGGTATCTTCTACTTCATTTTACTTCTTTGGGTCGCCTCTAAGTTACAGTTTTTTCAAAGGATACTCAGCTTTGAGCAAGTGTATGTGGGAAAATACAACAATTAAGTATCCTAAATTGTTTTTTAAAGGCTGTAAAGCTGATGGCAGGGGAATTCTGGGAGTTGAAGGCCACATTCATTAAAGTTGCCAAGATTGAGAAACGTTGCTTTAAAAGAAAAAAAAACCCTCTGTTACATTGAGGATCAAGTTTCTAATTTTGGCTACTTTGTGATCCAATTTTGTCAGTTGATGCCGAAGTAGGAGTGAAGCCTTATATGGTTTATTTTAATAATTACATTTAGTGTAGCTAGTCCTTTCTAATAACTATATTTGTTAAATTGTTTTTAAAAAACACGTCTCAACCATTAGTATGGGAAGTTATGATCTTGTTTTGACTGAATAATAAGCACACCAGTCAGTCTATCTGACACATGCACACACACAGTTACTGAAATAACAGAGATTAATAGGAAGGCTGTTACTGTTTCTACTTTTTTACCTGAAGAGTTTACAGTTTTAAATGCTGGATTGAGGTGATTTAGCAGTATTTATAGATGTGCAAACACATGTAAAAGCTTAGTGAAGTCTGGCTTTTTACATTACTTGCTACATTAGAAAATAGCCCATAAGTCACAGCAATAGATATGGCCAAAATTCAATGAATGAAAAGTACAGATTTATTTTAGTGTTCTTTATATAGATTACAATAGATTCATTTCTATTTTTGGCTCAGTCATCCCCTCAGAGAGGAGGTTCGTAGTAGGAGTTTGGGGACTTAAGCAGGGTATCTGACTCTTGATCCTGGCCTATTTCAAATACCATGGACTTGCTGCATTTATCTGTTTCTAATCTGATTAAATATTTTCATTCTTTTTGAATATTAGCATTATAAGTAATAATAAGAAATGCAGCACATCTCTGCATAGATCCTGTGACTTGGCTGCTATTTAAGATTAATTTTTATTTTTAATCGCACTAGATCATTGATGCCAGAGAAGTGTTTTCTAAGTATTTAGAAATCTCAGCTTCCATGCAGATGGAAAATGACTTAATCATCATATTAGAATGAGGAACTAACATGCTCTGAACCCTTAGACTTGTGTTTTTGCAATTTCTTAGTAGTAAAATATTTAGAGTTAACATCTCTAGTTCCTGTATTCTGTATTCACTACATTGATGCACAACTATTGTTTAGTGACAGTGAGAGGAATTTTTCATAATGACCCAGCCACGGTCAGTTTGTAGTGGAGCTTTACATTTTGGAAAGAGTAGAAGTACTGTTTTCCTGTAATTGTATTATTGAATATAATAACTATGCTAGGAAAATATTCCATTGAAATTATTTAGTTAAGTACAGAAAACAGGAAAATTTAGAATATATCATATTGGAAAGCATTAAGGAAAAAAATGATTGAATTATTCCTTACTAATGGGGGGTCCTGAATTTTGATCAGTACAATCAGGGTTTTTTTTTTGTCATAGAACGCCCAGAACGGAGTTCCAGCACCTTTTTTGGATGGAACCTTGTAGGGTAGGCAAGGTGGGTTGTATGATATGTGTGAGTTCTGGCATCTTTTTTTTTTTTTTAAAGCACTGAGTACAATCACATTTTTCTTTTAGTTACAGCAACTTCCATTTTGTCCCAGGCCTCTCTTTGAGAAATTTAGGAAAATGATGTCAGAACAAGTAGTCCTCAATTAACAACAGTAATTGGAATTTCCCTCATTAAAGCAATACTGTCATAAAGTGTAACATCACACCAATTAAGCTACAGAAATTCTGGCACTTCTAGTTGCAGTAGTTAAGCAAATCACTGCAGTTTATTAAGTGAGGACGCCATGTGGTCACCCTTTGTGATCTCTTGCCAGCTTCCTCATTGATTTTTCTTATAGGAAGCCAGCAAAATAGACTGCAAATGGCAATCGCATGATTATAGGAATGCTGTGACTTTTGTAAGTCCAAGGACCCGTTGTAAGAACTGCTCGTTGAGAACCATCTAAATTTGAGCCATGACTGTATGAGTGGTTGTTAAGCCAAAGGACTAACCTGTACCTGATTATGCACTGTAAGTGAGCATTTTACATTTGGCATTTTGATATGTAATAAAAAATAACATAATTGAATTAAATTGATATGTGAGGAAGCATTGTTTAAAGAAGGATTTGTTTTTTAAAAGATACATCAGTACTGTAGTGTCATTAATGTATATTTTTATATATTTTTCTTGAACATTTTGTGAGTTGCCTTGTATAAACAAATTACTTACTTCTTTTATGCTAGACAGATTATCCTATGTTTTCTCTTAAATTTGAAGGTAAAAATACAAAGTTGAGATTCAAACAACCAGTCATTATAAAAGTAGTCCTCAATTTACAATAGTTCATTTAGTGACCGTTCGAACAGCACTGAAAAAAGTAACGTATGACCATTTTTCACACTTATGACTATTGGAGTATCCCTATAGTCACGTGATCAAAATTCAGACTAAATAATAATAAAGTTGGAAGGGACCTTGGAGGTCATCTAGTCCAACCCCCTGCTCAGGCAGGAAACCCTATACCATTTCAGACAAATGGCTGCCCAATCTCTTCTTAAAAATCTCTTGGCAAGTGATTCATATTTAGGACAGTTACAGTGTCCTGGGGTCATGTGATCACCTTTTGCAACCTTCTGACCAGCAAAATCAGTGGGGAAGCCAGATTCATTTAACAACCATATTACTAACTTAATAACTGCAGTGATTCACTTAACAGTTATGGCAAGCAGAGTTGTAAAATGAGAAAACTCACTTAACAAATGTTTCACTTAGGAACAAAAATTGTGGTCGTAAGTTGAGGACTACCTGTAGTTAAAACAGCATGTGTAGATTTCAGGGAGATGACACATTTTTTTGTTTTGTTTGCCTGTTTGCCATCCATCTCGCTGCAAAGCAACTCTTTATATATATTTTAACTCAAGGTGGCAGACATACCTAATACTTCTGCTAATTGCTAATACTCATTGCTCAAAGTTACAAAGGATTGGACTTTCTTATTCCAAGCTGTCAGAAATTGAAATACTTCTGAAATAATTGAAGTGGCTGATTTTGACCTTGAAATGAGCAATGTTATAGGATTGAGAAGTTACGATTTCTTCGGTGTGCTAAATAATTGTATTAAAACTTTATCACAGTGATATTTAAATAGAACCTAATTAACATAAATGATAGAAATTGTATTCCTGTTTCTGCACCAGGTCACATGATGATAGTGGTAATTATTTTTTAAAAAAGATCCCTATTCTGTAGTTCTCATGGCTTTACATGTTGCCAAGTTGAACAAGTTCAATATTTTTGTCAAAATTTATCTTGTGAAAACGATCTCGAGTTCTGTTCATCTACTATAATTTTACCATCAAAACTCCACCATAAAATATGCAAAAATAATTGTAATATGTGCACATCATTCTGAAGAAGGTTTTTTTTGTTGTTGTTATATCATAATGGACTAAAGGGTAGAGTTGTGGTGGATTTTGCATACCATTGAGCTTACATTTGGTTAATTAGTTGTTCCTGTTTTTACCTTTGCTACAACTACATGTAAAGACTGGCTGATATCATTTTAAGAGATTTTATTCCCACAATGCAGTGTAAAGTACGGCTGGTTATAAAAATAGTATTTCCTTTTTTATTTGCCTGCAGTATTTTGTGTCTATTAAATGCAGTATTTTGTGTCTAGTGGCTTTAGAAAGCAATGCCCTGAAAGATCACATCAACGTTTCACTTAGCAGCTACTTTTCTAGGATAAAAAGACTTTCTTAAAAAATAAAAATGCCAAGCTGTTTTTCTGATAGGTTTTCTACTGGTATACTTCATTCTTCAGTTCTTAGTTCTTTCCCCTTATCCTCAGATTTGAGATATTTTCCCATTCTGAATCAGATAAACGTATTCTTACTATATGCTTAAAATGTCTTTGTTCTATTGACAGGTTTGGGTAAAACAAAACGAAAGACAAGTGCTAGAGATGCTTCACCAACTCCTAGTACTGATGCAGAATACCCATCCAATGGTAGCAGTGCTGATAGGATTTATGATCTGAACATCCCTGCATATGTAAAATTTGCCTACGTGGCAGAGAGGGAGGATGAACTATCTCTTGTTAAAGGATCTCGCGTGATTGTTATGGAGAAATGCAGCGATGGCTGGTGGAGAGGGAGCTACAATGGACATATTGGCTGGTTTCCTTCAAACTATGTTGTTGAAGAAGTTGAGGAAGCAACTGCTGATTCACCAAGTTTTCTAAGTTTGAGAAAAGGGGCATCCATGAGTAATGGCCAAGCCATGAAAATTCTTCACATTGTCCAGACATTGTATCCATTCAGTTCTGTCACTGAAGAAGAGCTCAATTTTGAAAAAGGTGAAACTATGGAAGTGATAGAGAAACCAGAAAATGACCCAGAATGGTGGAAATGTAAAAATTCTCGCGGGCAAATTGGTCTCGTTCCGAAAAACTATGTAGTAATCTTAAGTGATGGTCCTACCATTAATACTTCCCACCCTCCTCAGATAAGCTACACAGGGCCTTCTTCTACAGGACGGTTTGCAGGAAAAGAGTGGTATTATGGGAACGTTACTCGACATCAGGCAGAATGTGCTCTGAATGAAAGGGGATCAGAAGGTGACTTCCTTGTCAGAGACAGTGAATCTTCAGTAAGTAGCGATAATTTCAAATGTTATTTATTTGTTTATTTATTTATTTATTCATAAAATGTATTGGCTGCCTATCTTACCACAGGGTAACTGAGCGGCTTACAATCATATAAATTCAAAATGTTAAATTTGATTATGCAGAATATATGAAGTAATAGATTATAGATTTGCCTTGCTATATGAATCAAGTGGAATTCTCCAAAGTGAATATTCATGTGTTGTGTAATACAGTTCTCCTTTCATTAATTGAAAAATAACTTATATAGGATAAAACAGAATATAAGCATGGTGTACCATTGGTTTTAAACGTTTTTCAGGTATATAGTTTTTAACTGGATTTTCTCTTAGCAAATTTAAAATATATCAATGCATAAGCAAATGTTAGTAGGAAAAGTTGTTAGTTTAATAGATTGAATTTTCAAGGTGTGTGGTAATTAATCTATTAATCCTGCGCATATGAACTTTCAAAAGCTGTGTGCTTTCAGATTTTGTGCAAGCTCAGCTCAGCAAAATTTAAGCTAACCTGTTTTTCTTTTGTATCCACTTACATACTTGCTTTTCCTGCTTCTGTTGGCCCCTTTTACCAAAAGGTTTGAAATCTATTTATGTTTGAGAACAATATTCCTGAAATCTAACTGCATAGCATTACAGCTAAAGCAGTGGTTCTCAACCTTTCTAATGCCGCGACCCCATAATACAGTTCCCCATGTTGTGGTGACCCCGAACCACTTATACATCACCAGGTGCCAGGGGCGTGGCCAAAGAAAAGGGGGAAAAAATGGCAGACAGCCTTGTTTGGCGACCCCCGTGAAATGGTCGTTCGACCCCAAATGGGGCCCCGACCCACAGGTTGAGAACCACTGAGCTAAAGAATCCTATACTATTTTAAAGATTGACTTAATTTATTACAGCAGCAGATGTAATTGGATACAGCTGAATAATGTTCAGATCTTTTTACATGGGTTTTCTCTCTTGCCACTTCCTGTGGGTTTCATATTACAGCTTTCTACAGTGTTAACCTCAAGATGGACTTAAGTAATATTGAAAAATTTAGTTTAGACCATTGGTTAAATCTCTACATTTTTTCTTTTTCACGATTTTTAAATGTTTCATGCATTGAACTAGTATTGTTTTGCTACAAAAATTGATTTTTAGATTATACATTATAGAGAGATATATTCTATTTGTTAAGCAGAATTGATTTACAAAGTATATGCAAAGAATTTGTTTTGTTGGTTTTGATTTAAAAATTATGATTGTTTGGAAGGATCACTTCATAATAAATCACAGTTTTATTCAATTCTGTGAATCCAGTACAGCCTTAACTAGGAATAAATAAGTTCTAGTAAACATGGTGGAACAGTTTTGAGTCAGTGGGTGATATATTTAGATACCGTATATTCCGGCGTATAAGACTTTTGAGAGCGATGAAACAGCCTCCGAACTCGGGGGTCGTCTTATACGCCGAGTCATAACGTTTATTTATTTATTTATTATTTCCGGCGTATAAGATGATATTCTAGGCATGCGACTCGGTGTCGATCATCTTATACGCCGGAAATGACGTCATTTCTGGCGTATAAGATGATCGACACCGAGTCGCATGCCTAGAACGTCATCTTATACGCCGGAAATAACGTTATAAACTACGTTTATTTCCGGCGTATAAGATGACTTTCTAGGCATGCGACTCAGTGTCGATCATCTTATACGCCGGAAATAACGTCATTTCCGGCGTATAAGATGATCGACGCCGAGTCGCATGCCTAGAAAGTCGTCTTATATGCGACTCGGCGTCGATCGTCTTGCGACCCAGCGTCGAACTCGGGGGTCGTCTTATACGCCGGGTCGCCTAATACGCCGGCATATACGGTAGCTGTAATTTTGATTAATTAGTACAATAGAAGTAATTTTTTTTTAATTAAGCAATGAACACCATTAATCATTTAGTTGTGCCACAGTCAGTAAAATGATCCACAGTTTGAATGCCATTGAAACTGTGTTTATTTATTTTTAATAAAGATGTAGTAGATCTCTAGAGCTGCACCTGATAAAGTTTTATTGCCTTTCCTTCTGAGGATTGTGCATTATAAGTAGTCCTCATTTAGCGACCACAGTTGGGACTGGCAATTTAATTGCTCAGCAAAATTCTTACTAAGTAAAATTGCAATTGTGCTTATGATCATAAATATAAGGACTGGTTGTAAAGTTAATTTTTTATCACCATCGTAATTGAATGGTTGCTGAATTAATAACGAGTGGTTGCTAAAAGATGATTACCTGTATTTTAAAAGAACAGTTCCAAACGACAGTCAGGGCTGCACTAATGGGTGGCTAAGAAAAAAAATTGGAATGATGGTGCTCTACTGAATTGGTATGAGAAAAAAAATGTTCACTTTTGTGAAATAGGCAATAGCATAATTCTCTTTTTTGTATCATAAGAATGGTAGGTGAACTCTGGTTTAGAGCCATCTGATAAGCCCCAGAAAGCAGGAGCATATTTGTACATCTGATAACAAACAAATGTTGGAGAATATTTTTGCATTATTATACAGATAGTCCTTGACTTATAACAGTTCATTTAGTGATGGTTCAAAGTTACAACAGCACTGAAAAAAGTGAATTATGACCATTTTTCATACTTATGACCATTATAGCATCCTCAGGGTCACGTGATTTATATTCAGGTGCTTGACAACCAACTCACATTTTTGATGGCTGCATTGTGCTGGGGTCATGTGATCACATTTTGCAACCTTCTGACAAGCAAAGTCAATGGGGAAACCAGCTTCACTTATCAATTGTGTTACTAATTTAACAATTTATGATTCAGTCAAAAAATGGGACAAAACTCACATAACAAATTTCTCATTTAGCAACATAAATTTTGGGCTCAGTTGTGGTTGTAAATCCAGCACTACCTGTACTTGATTTCTATCTTAGTCCCTGGATCAGTTCCTTGAAAAATTATGAATAACATAAAATAAACGAGTTCTCTTTGTTAATTCTTTGGCATATTCTTTGAATATGGAATGAGAAGTGCTCATTGAAATGGATAGGGAATTCCAGCCCCATTAGCTGGCTGAAATTGGCATCTCCTTAGAACTGATAATTAGTTATGAGCCAATTTTATCTTATCTTTATCTGAAGTTTGAGCACACAAGGCCAACTTTGATTCCAATACTTGCTTTACAAGAACTTTTGAGTTTCAGAAATAGCACATGGATTATTATATACTCATCATGACTTTTCATTGGCCTTTGCTGACTCATAATGTTCTTTGTACTTTTTAGCTGAAGAGCAACACAAATTTTCCCTTGTGATCTTTTTGAATAAGTTTAGGACAATTCAAGACTCCAATGCCTTTGGGCAAGTAGTGTTATGCACTTTTTAAAAGATGACCTACTGTGCACTTATTTTGTGAATTACCCTAAGTAAAAATCAAATCCAATATTTATAGGTTCAGTTTATGAATTATAAAATTCAAGATATAATATGCTCCATAAGCCTGAACAAACAGAAAGTATAACCATTATCTTCATCAAATAAAATGGAAAAAGCCAAAAGACTTATTTTTTCTGTTTCACATAAATATTCAAATGATATTTTTTTTGACAGGAATAAAGCATTAATTGATGAATTTAATTGTGCCTTACTGAGTGGATTAAGTCAGGAAGCCTTCCTAAATCTGGTATCCTTAACATTCATTGAGATTAAAAAATGCCAGAATTTTCATTCAGCATACTACTAATTTGGTGATATGTATTAGGTAAAACAAAGGAAATTGTTGAGGCTGTTATTTGGGAAAAGTTATGAGGATGACAGCTATGTGCAAAGCAAATAGCAAAATAATTGACTGAAGATTTGTTTCTACATTGCTGTAGCATATAGATAAAGGAGAAGGAGAAGGAGTACAGAATGGGTTATACAGGATCCTTATGAACTTTGATTCCGGCATGATTTTTCCTATCTATCAGAATGTAATAGACACAAGTGGGTTTGTTAGTTGTAATTGATTGTTATAGTTTATCTCCAATATTTTAAGCCCTCCCAAAATACATTACAGTGCATGAGTTCTGTCTAAAATTATATTGGTGATATTATCCTTTTCCCCCTTTTCTTACTTTTAATAAGGTTTTTATTCTTTTCAATGTGTTCCAAAGATGTGTTTTAGTTTTCAGTTAGTAATATTGTGTCTGGGATAAAGCTTATTGGCTATCATGTTCCAAAATATGTGTTATAAACATCTAGAATTAACCCATAGATAGAGCTATGCTTATTTTTAGAAAAGTACGAATTGAAAGATAATTAAGTATTGAAATGGGGGAGGGGAAATAGAATACTGTGTCACTAAGTAGTTATAATTATTTTAATTCTCTATGACAGCAGCCCCCAAACTTTGGGGCACTAGGGACCGGTTCCATGGAGAGAGGTTTTTCCGCAGACCAGAGGGGGCATGGTTTCGCGTGCTGCCTGCATCTGTGGATGGGGCTTTGCTTGTTTGCGTGGTCCGGTTTCTGGCATGCTACAGACCGGTGCTGTTCATCAAATGGGGGTTGTGGCCCCCTGCTCTGTGATGATTAGGGGTTAGTACGCTAGGTTTGTTAGGCTTTTTGAAGAAAGTAGGTTTCTTACACAAGAGGATGCTGTAATAATGATACTGTACTAAACAGGATGCTGGAGGCTGGGAGACCTGAGTCAATCCAGCTAATGGTTTGATTAGCTGTGCGTGTTAATTTTGATTAGCTATCAATATATGATGAAACAACTGAGCAAAGAAGAGATAGGATTTGTTTAGGAATGAAAGGCAATATAGGAGGTAGAGTGAAAGGAAGAGTGGAGTAGACATTTCCTAATTTAGTGCCACCCCACCTGTATCACAGCAACAGTAATATTGATAAAAAACAAGCTATTTCCCCAAATTGTATACTTCTTGGAGGTATAAAATACCACAGTGTGTTGTAAAATAACATGTTCATTAACATGATTTTTATCTTCAC